GGTGATGGTAATGAGAAGCCGATGACAAGAGACAGGCCGAAGGCGAGCTGTGAGGATTCTTGGTATGACACTGGCTTGATTCGAGATCTGATCCCCCTGTGCTTCCAGAATTTTGGAAACCGGGGTTTTGGAGATCATAGAGCACAGTGTGCCTCTGAGTTTCAAGGGCCAGGGATTCCCATGGGGGCCGAGAACCCAGCGGCATGGGAACGTCCAAAACAAAAATGGCCAACCAATTCTGTACAAAGAGGGCCTTCAATACTCACATCATGGATTTGTCTATTTTGTCTTCCCGGCCATGTTTCTCCAGCCTTCTTTCAGATACACTCGCATATATTCCATTAGCTTCACCAAGTAAAGCTTGGTATTAAGCGACATGGCTGGATGTGGCTGTTCCCTTGGCCCTGAATCATGAGACCCAGAGCAGTGAGACATCACCACCTTGCAAGTTGAAGATCCCGACACCGCAATTTGAGATTGAGTTCGGCTCACCTTGGGACAAACTCCCCACATGTTCGAGATCGAATCTTTGTTCCTCAGGAGGATCCCAAACTGATACTAGGATGCGAAGTCTCGTGATATCATGGCTGCAGAAGGGCGCGCCACTCAAGATGCTGGCGTCGCAGATCGGTGGTACCTTAGATCAGCGACTGTGCTTCCCTGTCAATCTTCCGCTCCAAGGTCAAATATACGAGAGCATATATCGTAATTTGCCCCCTCAACATCAGAGTAGAGACGCTACGAAGGCGGGTCAATCGGGTGCTTGCTTTGCTGCTCTGAGAACGGACCATCTCCATGAGCTTGATATGAGTGCCTAGTACACCATTGCCGTGGGTTCAACTCGGAGGTGTCAGTAAGAGCTCCCATCGGAATGATTGCGCTGTTGCCCTGCTGGTGAAGCGAAATGGTGACACGATCAGAACTCGGTCAGGGTTACACACCAAGCCTCAACTGTAACCACCCGCTCTTGGCTTGCCCTGAAATTATGCGGTCAGGGAATCGGCGGGCCAAAGCGCATGCTTATTAAATGATCGCAAAGGTCGCACAAGAGCATCCCCGGACAGATTATAGTGCGACGTCCCTTACAGCAGGCAATGCGAAGGTTACACCATCTACGCCATCCACCTTGGTGAGTAACAACTTTGAGGGGTTCAAACCGATTCTCGAGGGTAAGATCGCCAGTCGTAGCATGTTCATGCATCGATGGTTCACGCGTGAGTAGGTGCCCGAGAATCGTCGGAGAGGAGCCATGACGAGAACGACCGGAATCATCCCATTTTAGAGCTCTGTAGCATTCGCAAATCTTCCACGAGAGCCTCCGAACCCCATGGCCGGACTGCTGCAGGCGTAAGGCGGCAGCCTAGGAAGAATCGATACGACATGTCACAAATCCACTTACCCGGCCCCGAACCAGTGGGCTGGGACACGATACCCCAACATAATGGGAAGGCATGTCTCAATCGAAAGCATCGGCAACTTCGGCGGCGTTCTATTATCATGATGACTCGCAGGTCGCGCAAGGTTAGTGTAGGCGAATCAAAATCCCATGCTTGAAGCCGCAGCACTCTGAAGAAACCCCGCCACATGCAAGTCAATCTCTGAATCACTTACTCCCCTCTCATGCACCCTTGTAGCTTTGGCGCCGTCGTATTCTCTTACCGCGCAGTAAAAGACGAAAAAGGGTACACACGCACAACAAGCTGTGATCATGGAGAGAACAGGGCCAATCACGTTATGCCGGCGTACCGTCCACAACATGGACGCCATGAGGGCCATGCGCAAGCCATGGTCAGGTCAAGGCCACTGTGCCTTTGCAGAAACTACCCCTCCTCTCCTCCTTTCACCAATCTAGAGAGCCGCGTGCGCCTTGTGGGATGTGCCTCTGGGCCACCCACCTCTCTCCCCACACACACAGGCACAAGTACATGGTTTGCGGATGTCAGTCCTGGCGTTTGATGATTCGAAACTTTTGTCTCGGCCAACAGGAGAGACGAAATGACTGAGCATGTCTAACCGAAGGCAGCTTCTAGGAAAAGGCGGGTTCTTGTTGTCTCTCACCGTTCGGCGGCGTCCTCTTAAAGCTTCGTCGAGTCTTCCACACCCCATTGCTTGTTGAAGAGATGGCCATGACCATGGCCGATAACTCAATCCGAAAAGCTTGCGATCGCTGTCATTCACAGAAGCTGAGCTGTAAACGCATCGGTGAAGAGCCCTGTGAACGTTGTACGCGGCTGAAAACCGAGTGCAATTTCAGCCCTTCGCTTCGCCATAAAAAGCAGAGCAGACAGCAGAAGCAACAACAGCAGCAGCAGCAGCAGCAGCAACAGCAACAGCATATCCAACAACACCAACCGCAACCACAGGATCATCAAAATCAACATCAACATCAACATCAACAACAGGCCCAGCAGTTATACGGGCACCAACAGCCTCCTCCTCCTCCACCGCCGCACCACCAAATCCATCACCAACACTTCCAACAAGTGCCCCATCAGGACGCCCTTGGTGCCGAGACAACTCCAGTAGTTGGCAGTCGGTCTCCGAAGAGGCGAAGGACCAGCAGCGACCCAAACCTTGTATTACCTGAGACCCGTAAGTGCCATCACTATCCCATTCCATGTCTTGATCAATAGACCACTGACTCATATGGTTGCCGAACGTAGTGCCAGCAGTCTCGCGGACAGAGGCGCTCACAGGAAAACCCCATAGCCTCGTGACATCTGAGACAGGGCTAGACATAAGCGAGTTCAACTTCAACTTTGACCAGCTGGGCTTCTTCGCACCGCCTCACTCGGAGCACTTATCTCACTCCGCCATCCTTTCCGATAACCTTCACGCTCAGCCAGTTCAACAAACAGGAGGCTTCATAAACTCGTGGGAACATCACCACCTCCCCACAACCTCGGAGGCATTTCCTGTGATAGACCATACTCAGCCTCAGGCCCAGCCTCAAGCTCAGCATCCTCTCTCCCAACCGCAGACTGAGCTTCATCACTCTCCACAGATCCCCTCCTCCTCCTCTCCTGTCGCCTTCAGGGGGAGAGCTTGCCAACCCAAACCGGCTTCTAGCAACAGCAACAAGCGCCCACGGTTCCGTTACGGACAAAGCCCTGGACATATTTCCTTTCTTGACACAACCAGCCTCAGACAGCTGCAAGAATCGAATTCTAGCCCAACAACAACCTGGGAAGCCTCTCCGGTCGTCTGGATGGCGGAACTAAACGAGATCAACGTCCGCCTCCTGGAACTGTCGACTGCCCTCTCGGAGGCGCAGGAGGCGACCCAGCCGCTCGGCAGGCCCTCTAACGAGAGGTTCAGAGACAACGGGTGGCCCATAGACGAGATGTTCAACCTCACGCAGCGCGTGGCAGAAATCCTTGACCAGCTCGCAGGCACGGCCACAGAGCGGCGGGCCAGCGCGGATCCAGGCAACTCCATGTTTGTGCTGTCGACGTATGTGCGCCTGCTCGACATGTACCAGAAGGTGTTCGGCCTGGTGCAGACGGAACTGGCGCAGACCGACCCTGACGAGATGCTGATTATTGCCTCGGAGGGGGTGTTTCAGTTCTGGAAGCTGCCAAACGTGAACATTGGCTCGATCCCGGTGAACTCGACGCCTTCGCTCGCCATGTTCCTGACGGCCCAGCTGGCCGATAATTTCCTCGGTCGGCTGCGCAAGGCGACGGCGGCTCTGGACGCGTCGCTGAGGAACCCCAAGGACGCGACGGTCAATGGGCAGGCGGGCGCGGGGACCTCGGCGACGTCATTGTTTGTAGATGTGTCGTACGAGATGGTGAAGAACAGGGAGGAGACTCTGACCAAACACTTGGCGGAGCTCCGTAAGGAACTTGCGTCGATAATACCTATGCTGGATTGTGATCAGGAAGAGTAGTAACGCCGAAGGCAGTCAGAAGTTGGAGATGGATCTTTTGTGTGTGCTTGGAAAGACGGTCACACGTGGCTGGTTGAAAATGAAGGAAAGATTAATGGCTTGAATCTTGTGTGAGACATTCTTTTGGCAGATGAAGGCTGGATTGGGCATTGATGATGGCAATTACATGTGATGGGCTCCTTCCTCAGGGAAGCGGATGTGCGAGATGGCACTAATAATTGAAGAACCGACTGGGACTCGCAGTGCAATTACACTCCAACCAGTCTGTTCTTTTAGTCAATTTGCATTTATAGACATCGAAATATAACGTATTATCGTTCCATGATAGCCAGCGATGGCTTCTTTTGATTGACAATGGTTGGTTCAATGGCGTTGGCTGTATAGGGTAGTGGAGGATCTAAGCGACAACGGAGGAGCTGCTGTTAGTGGAGCATCGCAGGGCCTTTGACACCTGCAATGTCCGTCATCTGGAGGGCGGCCACAGCTTCTCCCAATCCATCGCGCCCATCGTGATCATCCTTGTTGCCATGTCAATGGCGTTGAGAAAGGATCATCGCCAGTATATGGGGCATTTGAACGCATGTTCTCTTGTGATACCAGAGGGATCTTGTACGAACCCGGCTTCGGAGAGACTGAAATTCTGGACCAGGTTAGCCGGAGGAGAATGTCTCAACTCGAACACCATCTTCTACGAGCGCGGAGTGAATAGCATACAATTTGAATTCATTTATCTAAAGCAACAGGCAACAGTAGCGGTCTTAAATAACCGTGAAGCTCTGGAACGGCCCTCTCTTGGCGCAGGGAATCGTGGGCCCCAACGCCATGATAGTAATAGCCAGATCTCATCCCCGGCGGCTTACAGTCTATTTTTAACCACAACCCGTCTCGAAAAGGAATTCATCCCATGACGGCAGGAAAACATGCAGCTTATAAGAACAATCGGGGAGAACCACGAGGCGATGATGTAGTAATCGTCAACCGAACCTCAGCCTCATCTCCAATTGAGACGAATTTTCTTTTCCCCGGTGGGAAGCAATCAGCAGTCTCACCACCACAGGCAGCGCCTCTTCTCTTCTCTTTCATGTCCTTGTAGTCATCTTCTGGCAAGATGCATTTCCTTAGTATTCTTTCGGCAGGTATCGCCCTGGCCACCCTCGGATCGGCCAAGGACACCAGATACCTATTCACATTGTAAGTCAACCATTATGATAGCAGAGAGTTTGACCTAACACACCATTAGCGGAGACTCGTACTCGAGGACGGGCTTCGACATCAAGGGTGATAAGCCCACGACAAAGAACCCTCTCGGCAACCCCGCCATGCCCGGCAAGACCTCTTCCGGGGGCAAGAACTGGATCGGCTACGTCCTTGAGGAGAAGAACAAGGACCACGACACCCTCTCGTGGAACTTCGCCTCGGGCGGCGCGACCGTCGACAAGAGCATCATCGTCGGCAGCAAGTCCAACGTCCAGAGCTTCACCGAGCAGGTCAAGAGCTTCCAGGACACCGTGGGCAAGAAGCCCGACTACGCCAAGTGGGATGGCGACAGCGCGGCCGTGGGAGTCTGGATGGGCCTCAACGACCTGGGCACATCGTACTATCGCAAGAACTCGACCAAGGTCATCGAGAAGTCCGTCGACAAGTACTTTGAGGAGCTCGAGAGCCTCTACAAGACCGGCATTCGCAAGTTCTTCCTGCTCCAGGTTCCTCGTAAGTATCAGCATTAAGGGGTTCTCCTCCACCTAGAAAGCCAGAGGAGACTAACCTGGAGACCAATAGCTACCTACCGCACTCCCCTCATCCAGAAGAAGGGCAGGTCCAAGGCCAGGAAGCTCCAGAAGGCCACCAAGGCTTACAACAAGCGCCTCAACGACAAGCTCAACAAGTTCAAGAAGAGCCACAAGGACGTCAAGGCCGCCCTCGTCAAGACTGAGGCGTCCTTCAAGAAGGCCCTGGACACCCCCAAGAGTGTAGGCGCCAAGGACAACAAGTGCACAAACAAGGATGGCACATCATGTGTAAGTAGCACTTCCATTCCATCCTTTCCTTATAGGCCTCAAGCTGATGATGGTTCCTATTGCAGTTGTGGCGCGACACCTACCACCCCGGCACTGGCATCCACAAGCTCGTGGCCGCCAAAGTCACCAAGGCGCTCAAGGACATCAAGTTCTGGTAAGAGGCAGCGGCAAAGTCCAGTCTCAATGCGCCCAGAGCGCCACCTGGAAGTGTTCAATCCAGTCCTCCATCTCCGAACAGACGATCAGCGTGTACTAGACCTGCAACCACAAGCCCCCAGCACGCCACATGGCTACTGGTGGCTTGCGTCCCAGCGCGCAATCAGTCAGAAACCCTCCGGCGATCATGGCTCATGAGGCTAAGCAGCCGGCTCTCGGTCTGTCGTGCTCGAGCTCATGCCCCGGGCTTTTTCATCTTCTCTTCATCCGTACATATTTTTAAACATTTTGTTATTGGTTTATCTTCTCCTGTTATCTATTACACGTACACATAGGATTGTACACATGAACTAAGGAACTACATCTAAGAAGGCGTTGGAATTTGAATGAATTGGAAAACTCACATCTACATTGAATACCTTGCTCTCTCCATGTGCTTTGCCCTGCCAGCTTCCACCTTCTCCCACACCTCTTATCATTTGACCGCCAATTGCGACTGCACATGCAGATCATATGTTCCAAGCCCCATTCTCCCGCTTGACTCTGGGTCCGCGCAGATCTCGGCACGTCGAGACGGTATGCACACACACACACACACACACACACATAGCACCCACCATCTCGATAGCTGACCTGCTAAACCCCATCACGCATGAATACGAATTCGAAAGCTCCTCTAGCCCACGGACGGGTCAGTGCGAGGTCACCATGTACGCGCGCATTAGGCTCAAAGATTCGAAGCCTCAGCCCTTTGCTTTTTCTTCACGCACCTCGTCTCAGCCGCCAGAAAAAAGCGAAACCGAAAAGGGGGACCCAGCAGCCTGGGACTGTATGCACAGCCCGGACAATTCGTGGTATAGCTTGGGCCCGGTGGCGCGGATTTGGGTGTCTTATTTCACACGGCTCCTTGTCCCTGATAGCGTCGCCTTACCCGAACAGGAGATTTTACGAGTGAAAGATGTACTATGTAACTCTACCTTACTCTCTTCTATCGGGGAGATAGTGTACCCCGGATAGGCCTCCCGCCATTAGCCGTCATCTCACCATCGAGGGATCCGTCTCCTTGGGACCAGAGGAGAAGGGGAGGGGGGGAGGCCTTCATTTCCGCGTTCTTCTTATTCCGTCATGAGAGAATGCTCTAGGCGAGCTGCACGCCCCCTCCCTTCTTCCTGAGTTAACCTTCCTGGCTAGGGCTACTGTGAGCCAGGCCCCTAGTAAATCGTTCATGCTGGTTTGGCCCTCCTCCCGCGATGATGCACGCGCATACACGCGCGGCAGTAGTTCGATTCGCGCTGATTCGTGTGGTCTCATCTCCGGACTCCGAATCAGCCAAGCAGACGGCATACAGGATACACACTGGGTGGCACTAAGTGATGGTGTCCAATGCCAGGCATGTCACGGCAAGGGTCGTCTAGCCCGCCATGATATGCAGCTAAGCGACGGGCTGGTGTGTGTGCTTTTGCTTTCTTTTCCTCAACGCCAAAACTGGCGCAAAGCCCGAGCCGGCACCAGCCAGAAGAAGGATAAAGCCGTGAAATGTCAGGATTCTTGTGGTAAGACAAGAATCATGGCAAATACCGCGTCTATACTCGTGAGAAGCTGAGGTCTTGAAGGGGGTGAGCAAACCACCAACCCCACATAATACTTCTATACCTGTTTGTCTACATTTCGACTATCTAAATTAGATGTGCCACCAAATGGTCCGCAACATGCATTACTGCTCCTGTAGCTATCATTCGATGAGTACCGAACAAAGGTATCCTGTAATTCTCCTCGTGGAGAAATGATGCTCTGGGGAGCCTCAACTTCTAGCAGTTTGAGTACACGATCCAACGCCAAAGTCTTACATATCCATATGTATATCTTCAATAAGCGCAACCAGTCCCTTCCCAACTTACCTAACCAGTACCTTAAAATTTAGCCGCGGTGTTTCAATAGACTTGGAGAAAGGATCCCACGTGCGAAGAGGGGGCGTGGAGTAATCTTCGGTCGCGCACACTAAGTGATATGAGGGCTCGTCTTCCTTGCTTCCGCAATCTCTAGGTTTCGCAATCACTAGAGGAAACCCCCCTCCATTTCCTTGAGATCTTTTTCAAAGTCCGCCCTACCTGGATCCGGCCCATACCCGTTAGTACAGACCCGGCGTAGCATGCGGTAGCCAGAGGAAAAAGAAGCCACGAGGGAACAAGTGGAGCGGCGCCTATTCGATGTTTGATTATCAGCACCTGCTACTATCAATCTTCTCATCTTAACGCCGACGTCCGACTGCCCTATATGGGCGGTGGCTTGCCCGTTCCGCTCGTACAGGCGCTCGGTTTGCCCAAATGGGTTTCGTCGATGGCGTCGGTTTCGCAAAGTCCTCCTCATCCAGCAGCCCGTCCCCTCCAGATCTGCGTGCCATGAAGTCACGCCTCGTGGCTGGAAGGGAGACGGGGGAGGTGTGTGAGAATCTAGTTCCTGCTGGTAATTAATGAGTATACGGCGATGTATCTTCCAATGTCGCATCCTGGCGATGTTTCAGCGACCAGCACGGCCGTATTGCCGAAAAGGTGCTCTCAGAAAAAGAAAACATGAGCATGGAGGTCAAATCAAGCCCAGCGCACGGGGTGTTTGCCTTTTTTGCGCCTTCCTATTCAATGCTTAGACCAGGCTCGCTGGCAAATCTGTGGCATACGACGCAGATCTCCTTGGCTGCATGTGGCAAGGGCTCGAAATCAAGATGGATCGACAATAAGGGACGTTCGTCAACTCGGTTGAGCTGATCCCAGGGATGACGCCTGGACGAGATATCGTCGCCGAGCGCAACATCCAGGTCGTGCGTCACAGCTCAACTGAACTGGTGTTGATTGTGCGGCGTCAAACCTGCAATATGCTCCCTGCCGTGTTTTTTTCACAAGCGGTATAGCATACGCACAGTCTCTGCTTGCGCGGTATATTCCTGATGCGCGGCATATTCCTGATGGAGGGACTTTTGGAACCCGGCTGCAGAGTGTATATATGAACCCGAATTTGCTCTTCGGAATTTGTCATCATTAGATATCATACGTATCTCAACGTCACGCTGTGCCTCCGTTTCACTCATGAAATATCGACACCGGGACGGAACGTCCCGCAGCGCGGCAACGGGACGAACGAGGCGTGGAGAAAGACATCATGGACGCTGGAATGTCTCACGGTGAGAAATCGCGGCTTGCAAGGTCAGACCATTGGTCGGCAGTCTTGTCTCGTTCCACGTTCAGCCGTCAAGAGTGTCGTATACCGTAGGTAGGCCCATGACAGGCTGTGATGAGTGAGGCCTCTTCCACTCGCACCCTCTCGGGCAGCTGGAGAATGCAGGTGCAGGCATTTTGCCGCAATCTAATGCATGACGAACACCGCACTATCCCGTAAGAAGATCAGCCACAGGGTGTCTCCAGCAGCAGTAAGAGCAAATAGGAAAATGAAGTTCCCAAGGCCAAGCAAGAAAAAGCAAAAATGAGAGAGAGCAAAACGGCGGGGGCTCGGTGCTTCAGCCATCTGCCTCCGGCAGTCAATCATGGAAATTCCGTGCTGGTTCCGCCCATAACCGGTACATAGGTAGGTAGCTTGATGCGGTGCCTCGGCGGTTACCACCATTCCGCTGATTTCTGTCGGCCGCTCCCGCTCCCAGTGGGCACGGTGACACGATTGGCCTCTTCACCAGGCATAGTAAGAGCCGAAGCTTGAAACTTGATCTGGCGTTGTATTGTCGTGTGCCAGCACGGTAGACATGTCCCGCAGCCATAAAGCGGTGACGTGTGTACAGACTCGAGAAGTGGACTTCAGGGTAGGCACACGCGGAAACATTTAGCTGGACCCGAACGCCCCCAAATCCCTCCCAAGTCCGTGAAGGGAATAGTGTTGGAATGAGAGGAGATAGTCAGGTGGCCATTGTTTCTTTCAAGAGCCAAGGCAGGCTAGTCTTCCATGTGAGGCCCTGGTTCCTGGCTTAACCAGGCCGCCGGGCCACCAGTGGCAAATAGCAACCGGGCTCTCACGTCAAAGGCATCTCCGGCGGAGGCAGAACAACCCATATCCATACGCCCATCAGGGACAACCCCAGTATAGGCACGGAAGCGAGGCGGGCTCCTGAGCACTGAGCATCGACGATGCCCGTGGCAACAGCAAGCATCTCCAGCCACTATGTATGCACAGGGGGTGATGAGGCCGACCTGGAACAAGAAGTCTCAGAATTCAATCTCGGGCCAGATGAACAAAACAGTAAAAGCAAGAGGCTCAAGGCTGAGCGGTACGTGAGGGAGGGCGCAGTCCTGAGTTCTGGCTTCTTTACGTACCGCACCAGCGGTGGGGAAAAGGCTCTTCGTCTCTTGGCTCCATCCCCAGTACCGGCCTCACGCCTCCCCTTCTGCCGTCTGTCTCAGGGAGCGTCTTAGCTTGCATCGTGATTGGGTCCGGTTGCTTGGTACGAGACATCATCAGCGGGCAGCCCACCCCTGCATGCCCTGTCGATCCATGAATCAAGCGCAACCCTCGCCAGCCATTGGCGATCCCATGGCGACGGCATTGGGATTGATTGGTACTGAGCCATGTAACCTACTGTACCCGGCTTCAGCGCCCATGGGCGTTGACACTAGGCGTAAATGGGAATCAAGTGCTGTTTTGCTACTGCCTTGGGAATGGATCACGTCAAGTATGGATACGAGAGAGGATGTAACATGGCCGAGACGGAGTCTGGCAACAGCCCGCGATGACATTTTGGGCCCGTCTGAGCAATTTCGCTCTAATTGATCGCTTGCTGGCGTCCTGTCCCGTGACAGCCCCATGATGCCAATCAATCACCTGGCACAGCTCCGGACGGTGGTACAGGTGGACTCTTGTGCATGCGTGCAAAGATACCATGGCCGCTCCCCCGGGCTCAAGTCCCTCTCTTCTTCATTTGCTTCCACTTTACTCTCCGTCTTTCCGCCTGACCGGGCTCCTTGTTTAAGCTTGTGCTGGGATCAGAATAACAATGTAGAAGGTG